ACAACAAACCAATCATGAACACTAGACTCAGTCACCTCCATGACTGAATGAGGCTTTAGGGGAACATTTAAACAAACCACAACAATTATTTTCTGGGTTCTCTATTTTGTCCCATAGATATGTATTTCTACACCAGTACCTTACTATTTTGGTTACTAGAACTTTGTGGTATGTTTTGATGTCAGGTATTGTGATGCCTCCATTTTTCTCCCTTAGAATCATTTTTACTTGACTATTGCAGTTTTTGTAGCTCCATATTTATTTCAGGATATTTTTCTATTTCTGTGAAGACAGCCATTAGTATCTTGATGTATTGAGTCTATAGATCACTTTGAATAATAAGTTCATTTTAACAGTATCAATTTCTCTAAGCCATGAACCTATCTTTCTAGTTTTCTGTCCTATAATATATCTTATAAAACATTTCCATCAGTGTTTTATTATTTTCAGTATAGATACCTTTCCATGTCCTTGGTTAAATTTATTATTGAATATTATATTTTTGCAGCTATTGTGAATGGGATTACTTTCATTTACCAGATATTGCTGTATAAAATGCTACCTTTTGTATTTTGTAGCTTTACTAAATTTATTGGCAAGTTTTAAAAGTTTTTTCATAAAGGATTTAAGTTTTTATGTATAAAATCATGGGATGCCATCGGCAGACATGTACAATGTAACTTGCTTTCTGATTTGATTGCCCTTTCTTTTAACTAATTTCTCTTGCTAAAAGACTTCCAGATTTATAAGGAGATGGACATTTTTGTCTTGTTCCAGGTCATACAGAACATGCTTTCACTTTTTCCCTGTTCAGAATATAGTTCATGGTTTTCATAGATGTTTTAGAAACATATTCTTTTTATTCATAATTTTAAAGTCTATGGGAGGATATTGAATCTTAACACTTCTTGTGTATATACTAAGTGATCATATGGTATTTGCCCTTGATTCTGCTGGTGTGCTTTATCATGTGTGTTGATTTGCTCATATCAAACCATGCTTGCATCACTGGGATGAGTCTCACTTGATTATGGTGTATGATCTTTTTGATTAACTGTTGAAACTGGTTTGCTAGTATCATCTTGAGCATTTTTCATCTGTGTTCAGGGATATGGGTCTAAAGGTTTCTTTTTATCTGGTTTTACTATCAAGATAGTGCTGGTTTGTGAAGATTTTGGTAGAGTTCCTTCCATATAGATTTTCTGGATTAGTTTAAAAACAACCAGACTTAATTCAAGTGTTTTATAAAATTTAGCAAGGAAGCAATTGGGTTTTAGAATTTTTAAGATGGTAAACTGGGACTTGAACTCATGATCTTGGGCTTACTAAACAGGCACAAAGCCACTGAGCTATATTCCCAGCACAAGATGAAGGACTTCAAATGATCATTATTAAAGTTTATATCTCATTCTTGATTTTTTGGTGAGTTTTATGTGTTCAGGAATTTACTTTTGTAGTTTTTTCAGGATTTTTTCCATATAAGTGTTCACAGTATTATATTACATTCTTTGTATTTATATGTTATTAATTGTAATGTCTCATTTTGCAACTCTGATTTTAAGTCCATTCCCCACTCTGGTCCCTCCTTTTAAAAATCTAGCTACCAATCTGTTAAATTTATTCTTTCAAAAAACTCCTTCGTTTCGTTGACTTTTCAAGTTTATATGCTGATCCTATTTCTTTAGTGTTGGGTTTGTTTTGCTTTTCTAAATCTTTGAGGAACATATTTGAAATATTGTTGGGTTATTTAAATTTTTCCTGTTCTGGACATACCCACCTATTGTTGTAAATTTCACTCAGCATTGCTTTTGCTGTATCTCACAGATTTTGACATGTTGTAATGTCATTCTTCCCCACAAATCTTTAAATTTCCATTATATATTCTTTACTCATCGGTCTTTTAAAAGCATGTTATGGATAGGTATGAACTTTTTGTATCATTGTTAACTATATGTTTATCTTTAAGTTTCTCTTCTTTTCTATCACTCTTATTTTTGTGACTTGGTAACTTGTTTAAGATTTCTTGCTCATGGAACCATTTCTCTAGTAAACTTTTAAATCTACATATGTTCTCATGATGGTATATAATTTTTGATTGTGTGGGACCACTTCAATACTTTTTTGTAGGGTTGATTTGGTGGGAATGAATTGTTTATGTTTATCTAGGGAAATCTTTAATATTTTGTTTTTGATAGAAAATTTTGGTTCATGTATTTTTCTTGTTTGTCAGGTCTTTTTCTCTCAGTACCATCCCACTCTCTCCTGGCATTTAAGACTTCTGCTGATAAACTTGTTCCAGTGTGCACTCTATTATATGTGACTTGACATTTTTCTGGTGTGGTCTTTAAGATTCTCTCTTGCTTGTGAGAGACACATAGGCTTCAGGCTTCTAGAAGTCAAAGTGGCTGCAGTAAGTGAAGATGGCATTCAGGCTGTTGTAGCAGTTTAAGTTTGCGGATATGGGGCAAAATGGATGGATTCCTTCTTGGACCAAAGCAATCACTCTTAGACCAGCCAGCTCCATGTAAGACTTGAAGACCAGAAGGGCCATGCAATTCTCCAGTATTTAGGTCTGCCAATCTGCTACAATTGAGGTTTCTGGCATTTTCTGACCTACCTATTCCCAGCAACACAGGATGCCCTCCATGACCAGAGACTGAGATTGAGGTGGTAATGAGCTTAGTTCCTTCCTCTGCGTTGCTTTCTGAACTCTCCATGTTAATGTGGGTCCCATCACTTCCTTGCTCATTTCCAGATTCTCATCACTCTTCTCACAAGATAGTTCTTTTGTTGCCCGGTTTGTCTCTGAGCAGAAGATTTATGTAAAGACACTTCTTCATTTTAGATGCATTCTATCTGCATTTGTATACAGAATTTTACTCAACTCAGAGAGAACTTCCTTCAAAAATAAATTCTCCCAATATGTTTACATATAGCTATATGTCACATACAGCTCTTACATATTACTTCCTTGAAATGCATCAGATTTGGGGTGTGGTGCTGTCACCCTAAGTAGTGGCTGTCAAAGGATAGTCTCTCTGCTAGTAGCATTAGCATTGCCCAATAAGTTTTCAATCAGAGGCCCCTGCTTTTGTTTTCACAATCTGTGTTTCTTCAAGTGACAGCAGTGTACACTAAAATTAGAGGCTGGTTTTCAAACTTAATTGTTCTTAATTAACCTGCAAGGTTGTGCTACAGTGAATTCCTAGATCCCTGGCCAGATCTACTGAATCGCAATCTCTGGAAAGTGAAGCTAGGTAACAAGCTTCATAAATTCAGTCCCACTGACAAAATCCTGACACAAGTGAGAACTGATTAGGGTGGATCCAATCATCTAGCAAACTTTAGTAAAATGGATGCTGAAGCAACACCCATATCATTTGAGTCACACTTTCCAAATGCAATCCAAGCACCAGTATATAAAATCACTCCACAAGTGATTTCAATGTGTGGTTCAGTTTGATAGCTAATGCTTTTAGAAAGCATCAGCAGTAATAATGGCAGGTGGAAGTGTATGTAGCAGTGTGAAAAAACACAAGACTGGCCTGACTTAGGGCTAGTTACTAAATCTGTCAGTGTTTCAGTTGCATAATGAGGGAAATATTTGAAGATTTTAAAAATTAGTACAAAGCAATTGCTAGTCTCCTTTTACTAATGCATCTGTTTTGAAGATTTCACCATGATTTATATGTGAGAGAAATTCTCTTTGCACTTGAGAAAACAAAAAATACCACCAATAGGCCTTAGAATGTTCTACATGCAATACTTTCCAAAACTTTTGTTGGGTAGAAACTAAAAATCATGCAAGGTTGTTTAACTTGCTTAGCAGTTATGCTATGAAAGTCCTCATTTTTGTTTGATCACCTGTTGGAAAAAAGAAACAAAAATTCATGCACATAGATTTTCACCTGTCTCTTTGATCCCATTTCTAGCATCAACTGAATTTCCAGTAGTCTCTGAAAAACTAGATTTAATTTTTTTTTTTAAGATTTAATTTTATAAGGAATGTTCTGCCAGCTGGTGGTGAAATGTAGTAATGGCAGGCTCTGTGACTATAAAGTTCAGGGAAAAAAAGAAATCAATCATTTCACAGCTGTCTATGGAGGATAGATGCTGTCGTAAGTGTCTAATAAGTATTACATTAGCATCCTCAAATAAAATGAAATTCACTTTAAAATTCATTCAGATGACTAATTGTTTTGTTACTAATACCTTTCAAAAGGAATCAGGGAATAATTTTAACATTAAAATTTACGTGAAATTACAGTTTTCTTTACATATATATCACAAAATAATTTTTGTGGGCTCATCAATTTGATACATAGAATGGTCAAGGAAGCCATGGTATCTAGAAGTTCATAAAAAAAGTTCCGCTTGCCACTGAAATGTTTTAAGTCATCATGAAAAGGAGATTCATTTGTAGCCCATGAGATATACACTTGTTTGTGCTAAATTATACCTATATAATTTTATCTTTCAGCAAATGGCTTAAAAAAATTAGCTAGAACTGATTTAAATTTTTACTGCAACTGTTTAAGAAAATGTCCATGAAACTAATCCCGCACATACCCCAAAAGGCAACTATGAGGCGCCAAGATAGGCTAATGAGCTTGATCATTTCATAGTGTTTATGTGCAATGATACATCACATCATATAGTTTTTAATCTAAGATGCACTGTTAAGGCTTGGAGAAGCTAAGCCCATATAAGACAACAACTTATCATATTATACCCCCCAAGTGTGGTTTTTATTTTTTTATTTATTTTTTGTCTTTTTCGGTTTTTTTTTTTTTTTTTTTTTTTTTTTTGGCTTTTTCTTTTTTTATCGGTACAGGGATCGAACTCACGACTGCCTGCTTGCAAGGCAGGCACTTATGCCGCTGAGCTAAATCCCCAGCCCCACAAGTGTGGTTTTAATGTGTCATTTTTAAGTCTTAAAAAAAATACATTTCTCTCACTCCTGACAGCTACACATTCAAATTTGTCTCTTTTCTTCTTAGAATAGGCAATCGTATCCATGTTTACCCAAACGGATCCCTGTTAATTGGTTCAGTAACAGAAAAAGATGGTGGTGACTACTTATGTGTGGCAAGAAACAAAATGGGAGACGATCTGATCCGGATGCATGTGAGCCTGAGGCTAAAACCTGCCAAAATTGACCACAAGCAGCATTTCAAAAAGCAAGTGCTCCACGGTAAAGACTTCCAAGTTGACTGCAAAGCTTCTGGCTCCCCCATGCCTGAGATATCCTGGAGTCTGCCTGATGGAACAATGATAAACAACGCAATGCAAGCTGATGACAGTGGCCATAAGACCAAAAGGTACACCCTTTTCGATAATGGAACCTTGTATTTCAACCAAGTTGGAATTGCAGAAGAAGGAGATTATACTTGCTATGCCCAGAACACCCTAGGAAAGGATGAAATGAAGGTTCACCTGACAGTTGTAACAGCTGTCCCACGAATACGGCAGGCTTACAGGACCACCCTGAGAATCAAAGCAGGGGCTGCAGTCATTCTTGACTGTGAGGTCATTGGGGAACCCAAACCAAAAATATTTTGGCTGTTGCCTTCTAATGACATGATTTCATTCTCCAGTGACAGATACATATTTCATGCAAATGGGTCTTTGTCCATCAACAAAGTGAAACTGCTGGATTCTGGAGAGTATGTATGTGTGGCCCAAAACCCCAGTGGGGATGATACCAAAACGTACAAACTGGATGTTATCCCACAACCTCCACTAATCAATGGTTTGTATAGAAACAAAACTGTTATTAAAGCCACAGCTGTGAGGCACTCCAAAAAACACTTGGATTGCAGAGCTGAAGGGACACCATCTCCTCAAATCATGTGGATCATGCCAGACAATATTTTGCTCACAGCTCCGTACTATGGAAGCAGAATAAAAGTCTATAAAAATGGAACCTTGGAAATTAGGAACCTGAGACTTTCAGATTCAGCTGATTTTGTCTGTGTGGCTAAGAATGAAGGCGGAGAGAGTATGCTGGTGGTACAGTTAGACGTGCTAGAAATGCTGAGAAGACCGACATTCAGAAACCCATTCAATGAAAAAGTAGTTGTCCAGCTTGGAAAGCCCACAGTATTAAATTGCTCTGTTGATGGTAATCCACCACCTGAAATAATCTGGATTCTACCAAACGGCACACAACTTTCTAACGTACCAAAAAATTCTCACTACCTCATAGCAAGCAATGGTTCTTTTATCATCAATAAAACAACTCGAAATAATGCAGGAAAATACCGATGTGCAGCTAAAAATAAAGTTGGATATATTGAGAAATTAATTGTACTAGAAATTGGGCAAAAGCCAGTTATTCTTACATATGCATTAGGGACAGTAAAAAGTGTCAGTGGAGAGTCCCTATCATTGCATTGCATATCGGATGGAATACCTAAGCCAAATGTTAAATGGACTGTACCAAGTGGTTATATAATAGACAGGCCTCAAAGTAATGGGAAATACATATTGCATGAAAACGGCACCTTAGTCATCAAAGAGGCAACAACTTATGACAGAGGACATTATATTTGTAAGGCTCAAAATAGTATTGGTCATGCACTTATTAGTATTCCAGTAATGATTGTGGCCTATCCGCCCCGAATCACAAATCACCCACCCAAGAGCATCCTTACAAGGGAAGGAATGGCCTTCCAGCTCCAGTGTATGGCCCTGGGAATCCCCAAGCCAGAAATTACTTGGGAGATGCCTGGCCACACCCTGCTCTCAAGGACAAGTAAAAGGAGAATCTCTGAAAGTGAGCTGCTGCACCCACAAGGTACCCTGGTCATTCAGAATTCCCAAACATCAGATTCTGGGATATACAAATGTATAGCAAAGAATCCATTTGGCAGTGATTATGCAACAACTTATGTTCAAGTTATATGACAAGAAACAAAGTTAAAATTGAACAGAATCAACATCTGGACTTTATTTTTTCGAAGAAGTTTAATCAAAGGCAGCCATAGGCATGTAAATGAATTTGAATACATTTACAATATTAACTTTACAGTGGACATGCAAAAGTGACATGTAAATAAATGCATTATGAACTGATATTGATTTCTTTAATAAATCCCAACTTAAACTTTTAACTTAAGGCACTTTTATTTTGCCAACAAATAACAAACATTAAGAGAAAATGGTCCACAATAAAGTAACAAATGGCTAATGCACCTGAATTTTCCAGTAACAAATGGAATTTTTTTTTCTTTTACTACCAGTTGCCTAGTATCCATCTTCTATCAATGTTACAAGCATGGCACTCAAAACAGAGACAATGGAAAACATAAATTTGAAGTCATTATGTAAATTTACCAGCTTGACCTATAAATAGTTTGTCATTGGTTTATAAATATTTTGCTAAAACCTTCAGAAAAGAATCAACTTTGATTATGATTTATCATTTGTTCACATTAAAATTTTCCATTGATAGGGAATATAAAATGATTTAATAACTGCATTTAAAAAATAAATGCAGGCCAATTTTTCCACATGTAAAAAGCAACTTGATACCCATACATCATAAAATGTGAAAAGGGGGCTGTTTACATTTTTGTCCAAATACATCCATTAAAAACATTTTTAAAATACAGTGAAACTCCTTTATAACATTAAAATGTAGCTCAGGCACCCCTGGTTGGGAGCTGTGTGTAAAGTTTTCTGGGGAGAAATCTTTGCTTTGTGAGCATTCTTTTCATTAAGTATTAATTTTTATGCAATGATCAAAAGTTTGGGAGAGCCTGGATCTATTATATATAATGAAGTTTCACTGTATTTACATTTTGATTAGTCCTACAAAATGTTGCTTTTTGTAATTGACTATTTATTGCACATGCCTAATTTAACCTAGATTAATTTTGGAAATATTGTATGATTCATCTTTTTTAATTCTAGAGGATGGAACTTTCTAGTGTAATTTCTCAAGCATCTGTCCAACTACTCAACTATTACTTTAAAATTATAGCCTTGTAAATGAAAAACTAAGCTCTAGATTTTGTTCAAATAGCACACGACACAAAACTGAGAGCTCTATTAGCCTTTGTCAGTCATTTAAGATACAGGGAGAACTCTTTTCAATGTGTTTTCATCATACCAACTTTCAGCTGGCCCCATCTGAGGGGCCAGTTGATTACTACTAATCTTACTACCTTATGGCTGCAAGACATCAAAGAACAATCATTGTAGTCATCCCCTTCTATTTCTGGACTCAAAAAAAAAAAAAAAAAAAAAGGCAAGTAAAACAACAAATGCAACCCTGTTAAGAAACAGCCTACGGTGTAATCAGGTACTACGGCTAGGGCAATGGTGGCTAACCTTTTAGAGCTTCCAGTGATAGCCAACTACCTGCTGTGGCATGGGTGCTGCAGGTTCACCACCACTGGTCTAAGGGATTCCAATATCCAGGAATTATGATAGGTATAACTCCATCAGATGTCAAATTCTTATCTTTAAAGGGATCTCAGGCTTGGGTTTTATTCTAAGAAAATCTCCTCTCTGCAACTCATCAAACAAATTACCAGATACTGCTACAAAGCTTTCCGTTGGGAACACTTCAATGCAAACTAATGCATTTACTAAAAAAGAAAAAAAAAATCTGTCAGGGTAGAGAATTAAGTAGGAGGCAGTATGAAGAATAAATTTAAAAACTCCAGTTACTTTCTCTAAATGCTCTGGGGAAAAAATAGCTCTAAGTTTTTTTCTAAGCCTTCCATAGCAACTCAGAATTATAGGCTTTACTATGACTTAGCGTCTTCACCTTAAAAAAAAAAACTAGATACACAACGACAAAGGTATATTCCATAGCTTTCATGTGCAAAATGATTAATAAATTAACTCCTGCAAAATGTAAAGTGCATACAAATGCTATGCAATTATAACACTCATTCTTGAAACAGTATTACTGCTGTTTGCAATATTGAGCTACAAAAATATATGGTTCAAACTGAAAAATGGCATTTTAAATACCAGTAATTCTGGAAACCAACAAGGATAGGACATGCTCACTAGGCACAACATTCACTTTTCAGTTGTTCTGCCAATGAGTCATATTACTTTGAAGTAAGTTAATTTCATGAACTATAAAGATGATTGAGAGAAAAAATGCTGATATACAGATACACCTGAAACTTAAAAGATACATTTTTTGAAAGCAGATATATATTAATTTAGTGAAAAGAATGGTCTTTAATGTTTTGGCAAAGTCTTTTCCAGCCCAGAGTAAACATAAAGTGAGCAGGCTGGAGTGAAATATTTTCACAGTGTACAAAGCAGTTCACATGGATGATGCCACAGCAAAGTAAGCTGACAAGTATTTGAGGTCATTTGCATGAGTCAAACTTTGCAATGAGTAACTCACCTAGGAAGATATAAATTACTTATATAATGACTTGCAAAAGAAATTATCTACTAAAGTCATACTAGCTACGTTTAAAAAAAGTAGTTCTACATGGTTTGCTCATTATAGACAAATCTATTCACAGTATGCTTAACTACATTACGCATAAAATGATATGAAAGAAAAATGAACTAACACAGAACATGGGAAAATATCCCCCACATATGTTTTAAAATGCCCTGCAATTTTCACATTCAAAATTTTATGCATCTAAATCTAAAAAAATATTATATGGAATACTCTTAAGTTACACAAACTGATAATTTACTGTCTTTTTTTACTCTAATAGGAGCAAATTACCACATACTTGAACAAAGTTAAAATAGTTACTATTTCTTTATAATAAATTTGATGTATAATTTACTTTACTTGTGCTTTTTGCACCAATTTATAAATACAGTATATGCAATACATAACCAAGACTGACACCATCAGGAATATTTAAATTCAAAATAGCAAATACTTACCATACAAAATAAACAGCAAATACACCTTTTATGAAAACCAGAGCCCTCTGAACTTTGGTGCCAGAGTCTCTGGAAACCATGTCAAGTTTGAATGTAGAATCTCAGGCCAGCTGCGAGATTTTTTTCTTTTTTTCTGAAATTGGCATAAAGTTCTGGAGAACCTTATGGATAGTCATTTTTGCCAAAATTGGCAGTAAATAAATAGAACAATTCCATTGTTCTTCCAGGCCTTTAGGATTACATGTTGTACCTTCACAAAGATTCTGATCAATGATTTTGTCACTGATAACAAATTCAAATGTAGTTACTTCTAATATGCTTCCACAAATCTTAGGATGGTTTTCACAGAAGCCTTGGTTGAAGTGTTTAGGTAACTAAGCAACAATCTGTTTCAGCACCTTTTGACCACAACAAAAGGAAAAGTCCTATATAAATAAGAACAAAGTTTATAAAGTGCTTATGAAGTCACAAACATTTCAAATTAGAGTGATGCAAATAAATGTCCTTTTCACCGTTACAAGTGAATGCAGAATGAATGGGTCACTTTCCAGTCAAAATCCAACATGACTTTCAAATCAGTAGTTTGGTCCACCACAGTGTTTAAAAAACAAAACAAAACAAAAACCAATTTCATCATTAATGAATACATAAATATTTAAACCCACCATAATTCATTCTTCTGTAAATCTGCTAATCAAAGAAAAAAGCACCAATTTCAAAAGGTCTGCTACCACCTTCTTCCTGGAGTAGGCCAACATGATTCCTCTTTTAAAAACCTGAAGTTGAATGTGACAAAATAAACCACAACTTCTCTTTTACTTTTGTTTAAATATCGTTGTATGAAATTTAGCATAAAGTACGGTAAAATGCAAAAGAACTAAAAGACCAAAGGGACAATTCTAAGATGACTCATAAATGAAATGTGATTTTCTTTTTCTCAGAGCAAACATAAAACTACATGTCTTCTCTTCCAGATTCAGAAGTGTGAAGAATGTCCATAGGGAGCCACTCCTTGCTGTGGCTGATTACCTAATGAGAAAAATAAATTCAAATAAAATTACAGGTATAAATTCATGCTGCAGATAAATGCTTAACTCTTACCACTGCACAGTGACAATATTCTCAGGGACAGGGGAACAGAGCAACTGGCCATAGTATGATCCTAGTCCTAAAAGTTCCTAGTGACACGATTCAAGCATTGCCACTGAATTAATTCTGCAGAGGGGGCAATTCCAACAAAGAACCCTGTATCTGGCAACACAAGGCCTTGGGATTAGGGTGACTGGTCCACCCAAAAGTCTCCCTCTAAACTAAGAAAGAGCCCTATGTTAATTATTAACTGAAAGTTTCATGAAACACTAAAAGTTCTCAGAATGCTTACAGTAGCAAGTTAGCAGTTCTGTGTTATCACTGAAATTGTAATTGGTGAAAATTATCTTGTAGTTTACCAACTGTATGCAAAAGACCACATAATGCATAAGAAAACTGCGTGAGAGCCCATGCATGGACGAGAGTTGATGCTCTGAATGCCAGGGCTGTTCAAGTGTGCACCTATGCATATGTGTGTGTTTGTGTGTGCACATTTGCACAAGCACATGCAGAAAAATGGCAGCAGACACCAAAACAGAAGTAGACACGGCTGAAGAACCTTTTGGAACTGTGCAGTGGCATCAGCTTAGTTGGCATAACTGCTAATACCAAGCAACAGAGTACAGACTGTGGTTAAGAGGTGGACTCTGGAAGACCATCTGAGTTCAAGTCCCAGCTCTGTCCCTTACTGTTAGTTGAATAACCTAGGGGAAATCAGTCGATGTTTCTGTTTTTCAGTTGTTTCCTCATCTATAATATGGGAACAGTAATAATACCTGATTCTCAAGTGGTTGTTAAAGAAATAAGTAAACTAATACATGTAAAGTCACAGTGTTTAGATTCAAGAACGTACTCTGTAAGTAACAGTCACTGCATTTCTTGCAATAAAGAGTAAACCAGCTCCCTCAAAAGGTATTAATACACTAAAATCATACTTAATTCTAAATACTAAAACAAAAACCTCTGCCATAATTCTGCAAAATTATGAACTCTGAAATTAATAAAAATGCCATGAAAATTTAATCATAAACTAGTTTAACACATTGGATCTATTAAACCACAGCCAGGGGAAAAAAAAGGTTGATTTATTTAATTTAACTGAAATTAAATGAAGATATAAGAGAAAAATCTTTTTAAAGAG